TTGGTTGGTACAGTATGATCTGCTCTTGGAGAACCGATATTGGGTCTTAGTAATTACTTCTTTCTTTTCTATGTGCTTATCAACATTGTTTAATAACCTCTACCATATAACTGTCAGGAAGCAATATTGAAATAATGTCTCTAGTCTTGAGAATCTATCTTTAAAATTTTTAAGGAAATTTCTCATTCACGTAGTAGCATAATTTGGTACAATGCACTCCAAGACTATGCGTCTTAGGACACATCCCCTGCACTTGGTTCAGTCTCCCACATTGTCTCCTGGACCAGAGGCATTTGTGCACCATCCCAAATCCATCCTGACCTCATGAGCAGTTAGGCGGCCCCAACATGGGAATGCATTGCTCCCATAGTTATGAAGCTGGATTGCTATAGCATCTGGATCACTACAGCTGGATCACCTGTTACAGGTGGAAGGGCTCACTGAGGTGCTCATGTCCTGCCCCAGGACTTGCCTACTGCCACTGAAGTGCAAAACGCTATGACATCCACTAGGCACCTTCACGCCTACGACCCAGAAGTGCAGAGGAGCTGAAGTCTCTTGGACATCCTTCCTCCTTCTTCCTCACAGACACATAGGATGGAGAAGAGGTGGTTTCCTATGGACTTCAAAAAGACATCCAGGGGCTTCCCTGGTGGCGCAGTGGTTCAGAATCTGCCTGCCAATGCAGGAGACACGGGTTCGAGCCCTGGTCTGGGAGGATCCCACATGCCGCGGAGCAACTGGGCCCGTGAGCCACAACTGCTGAGCCTGCGCATCTGGAGCCCGTGCTCCGCAACAAGAGAGGCCGTGATAGTGAGAGGCCCGCGCACCGTGATGAAGAGTGGCCCCCACTTGCCGCAACTAGAGAAAGCCCTCACACAGAAACGAAGACCCAACACAGCCAAATATAAATAAATAAATAAATTTAAAAACAAAACAAAACAAATCTAGTATTTGTAATTGGGTAACCTTCCCTTTAAAAAAAAAAAAAAGAAGACATCCAGTAAAACTAAGCAATCAGCGTGTCATCGAGCAATGCACTTCCCTGTGTGGCTCTCTCTCCTTCCCCGCTCCCTAGGCACAAAGGCTCTTGCCACAAGCTTTGCCTCTGGGTAAGCCGATGCTCATGGTGCCCTGCCCCTACCCCCTTGGCACTCGCGTCCTCTGCTCGTGGATGACTTCCTACCACCAACATTCTCTCAGCCTGCACGTGGGGTAGGCTGGACATGCTGGAGAATTGATGCCACCAGGAGCAGAGGATAAATACCTCATATTCCTCCTTCTATGGGTGGGACAACTCAACAAGTTCTACCCTGGCTCTTGGAGGTCCCCAGGGGGACTGAGTCCCAGCTGCCCACAGCGTCAACCATTGCCACACTCCTTATTGACCCTCTTGCCTTTCTTGTTTCGCTTTCCCACTCCTGTTTTGGTGCTTCTTGGGATCACCTCCCAAATAAATTACTTGCACTAAAATCCTTGACTCTGGACCTGCTTCTTGGAAAACTGAACCGAAAGCACTAGAGAACTTGAGACCTCTCCCGTGATAAGAACTCCCTCCTCACTAGCATCTCCCATTCTGATGGAAAGAGTGACAAGGGTATTTGTTGGCCAGATAGATTTTTAATTATTTCCTCTATTTTTGTATACTATTTCTGAGCGAAATTTAGTCAAAGCCCTCAGTCATCAAGGTTAGTATCATAGAGTGTTACCGTAATGTTGAAGCTTGTCATCTGCAACATTGTGTTAGCAGAGCTCACTTTTTTGTTTGTTTTTGTCAAAATGTTATTTCTATAATTTGAATGGGTAATAAATGGGAACATGGTAAAAATATGTGCACAATGATAGATAATGAAAGTAAGCACCCCCCCATCCTAAGTCTACCATTCTGTTACTAGTGCCTTTCCAGAAATACTCTATGCATTAACAGTCACACACACACACACATAAACACACAGCACACACAGGCCCACAGGCCTATGTCCCTGTTGTACTGGTAGAATCCTGCACTATACTCTCCAGACTCTTATGAATCTTGCCTTCTCATATGAGAGTAAATCTTGGTGATCACTTCACACCAGTAAACCTAGACTTGCCTTCTCCTTTTAACAGTTGTGAAGTTCTCCATTATAAGGATCAGTTTTGCGTTGATGGCTATTTAGGTAATCTCGCTTCTTTAACATAATCTAAGCTGTAACAATCTAAAACCTTAAAACACCAGCCATTTTGGGCTTCCCTGGTGGCGCAGTGGTTGAGAGTCCGCCTGCCGATGCAGGGGACACGGGTTCGTGCCCTGGTCTGGGAAGATCCCACATGCCGCGGAGCGGCTGGGCCCGTGACCCATGGCCGCTGAGCCTGCGCGTCCGGAGCCTGTGCTCCGCAATGAGAGAGGCCACAACAGTGAGAGGCCCGCGTACCGCAAAAAAAACAAAAGCACCAGCTGTTTTATTTGCTCACAGTTCTGCAATCTGAACTGGGCTTGGTGGGGCAATTCTGCTGGTCTTGACTGCGGTCATTCCTGGAGGTGCATTCGGCTGGCAGGTGGGTTGGGGGCTGGCACACTGGGATGGCTAGGTCTCTTGCTGTCACTCCGTTAAGTCTCAGGGCCACTATCTTTCCCCATGAGCCCTCCATTGCTTCTCTATGTGGTCTCCCCAGCAGGGTAACTGGACTGGTTATGCAGTGACTCAGAGTTCTGGAAGCTTCCAAGCCTTCTTAGAGTTAGGCCAGAAACTGGCCTAACTTTACCTCTGCTGTCTTCTATTGGTTGAACCAGGTCATGGGCTCAGCCCAGTTTCAAAGGGAAGGGACTTCACAGGGGTGTGGATCTAGGGAGATGGAGTTCATTGGAGGTCACCAATCAGATAGACCATTACAGGGGACTTCAGGGGAAACTAACTAGTTAGGGGATCAGGGCTCCCAACAGATGTATATCCCCTTTTATCGGATTTGTGATATTTTATTTGAAAAGATAATTATGCTTTTTAATAATGGCTGAAAATCACTAATTTACATCATGGAGTTATAAGAGGATTTAGAGAGATCACCCAACCCTTCCCCTTCATTTGACCGGTGAGAGATCTGAAAATCTCAAAGGATGATTAATGGTCAAAAGAATGACAACCTTCCCCTGACTCATGGTCAGCACCCCAATTCTTTATCCCCCTTCTTATGCTTTCCTGTTTCCCACTGATTTTCCATGTATGGGCTTCAACCCATTCAGTTGGTGGTTTAACAAACATTTGTTGAGCACCTGTTATGTTCCAGGCACTGTTCCAGAAGGTCGGTATTTCAGTAATTCTAGCCTCACATGCAGGAGTGGTGAGCTTGGGCCCTTTCGGGAGCCCTGATGGGGCTCATGTTCAAATTCACATTGAGTGACATCATGTCGGTGGCTTGAAATTGGCCATGGTGGGAATATTCACAGCATTAAAAACTGGCAAACGTTACAAATCAGGCCTCCTTTATTTCCCCCAAAGAGTTGGTTGTTAAACATTTATCAGCACACCCTGGACTTAGTCTTAAATCACATTCTCTTTCAGGCTGAGAGGGGTTCCTTTACCACAGGCCCTGCTGACCCATAGGTCTCTGTATTTTCATTCATTTATTCACTCGTTCAGTAAAGGTTTATTGATCAACTCCCATGTGATAGACCCTGTCTGAAGGAAACAGCCTCCATTCTTTTCCAGAAAATTATTTTCAGGCAGGAATGTGTGCCTAATTTTTGCTAGATCTGATTTTTTTTGCTAGATTTTTGTGTAGAATGACCCAGTTTTTCAATGTAAGCAACAAATTTTTAAAAGGTTTAAACTACTGCCTGGGCCAAACTAAACACATCTTTAAGTTATATTTGTCATGGAGGTCACCAGTTTGTAACCTTTGCTTTAACCCTAACAAAAGTGTATGACATCAAGGCCCTGGCCTCTCCAATCTTCCATTCCCACCAGTCATGCTGTGGTTAAATCACCTGGAAATCCGGGCCCAGCTTCTACACTATGTCTCTCATGATGAGTTTGAGATGTATGCTCAAAATAATGTCCTTTGCTGAAAGACCCTTGGGGGCTCCCCAGTAATGCCCATTTCTCCAGCCTGACATTCCACTCATCACTAAACTGCACTGGCCTTCTTTTGGTTTCTTGACCAGCCCATGCTTTCTGCCACAGGGCCTTTATACTTGCTGTTCCTTCTCCCTGGAACACTGAACTTTCACCTCATTTACGCAACACAAAGGTAATTTGCTCAGGGAATCTCCATCCTGCTAGACCAGATCAAGTTTCACTTTATCCTATGTTATTGCTATATTCTGCTCTTTTGTAGCTTTATGGCAGCCACGAAAATGCACTTCTTAGATCTCTCACTGAGGGGAGTGTAACTGACATCCCAAACTGCTGACTGTGAATCCACCACCACCACCCCTCTGCTGAGGCCACACTTCCCATGGGCCGCTCCCAGCCCGTGACTGAGCACAACAGGAATACAAAGGCAGGTTCATTCTTGAGACCTTAAGACTCTTTTGATGGGTAACTTTGGCCTTGCCAGGTCTTCCTTAGAACTATACTGCAGCCCAAGACTACCTATCTCTCTCCTTCCCAGAGCCGCATCACTGCCTGATGGCTCGCCCAGGCTTCTCCATCCCCCTCCCTAGTCTCACTCACAAATAAACCTCCTTCATGTTTATTCCTGTCTTAGCATCTGCTTCTTGGAGTCCATGAAATAACACAAGCATCTATTACAATGGTAAAAATTTATATTTATATATGCAATTATCTGATGAATGCTTACCTCCCAGACTAGACTATGAAGGCAGGGTCAGTTCAGGGATATGTTTATCTTTGGCCTACATTAAATCCCAGCCTCTCCTACAGGGCCTGGCGCACAGTGGGTACTCAGTAAACACCTGCTGATTTAACATATGAAGGAAACAATGGATAATACGTGGCATTATGAAAATGAAAGGTGTAGTTAAATGTAATGTAGGCTTGTCCTGACTGTAGGCTGTGCTAATTTCAACATGGGAAACTGAAATTGAGTAGCATCCCTTGGAGAAAAGGTACGTAAAGATAAGACGAATTCAGCCAGTCCAAGTAGTCCATGTGGTAATTTAGGCTTAGAATTGGATTACATTTCAGTGTACTTGGAGGGTACCTCTGGTTTCTCCCTAAGTCATGATAGTTTGGTAACAGAGAATGCACTGAGCTAACAGGAAGAGTCTATTCAAATACCATCCGAGATAACCTCAGAAGGAGTAGGTAATGAAAGCACAGTTGGCAAAGGAGTAGTGAGACTGGACTAGCTTGAAACCTGCAATGACCCAGCTCAGCATCTTGGGCAAGTCCTTTTTCCTCCTCAGATTTTGATGTTCTCATCTGTACCATGAGAGGGCTGGCCTGGGGTCTCTGAGGCACTTGTAGCTTGGACAACCCTGGATTCTAAGTGCGGTGGACAGAGGTCCGGGGAGGAATGTCCTCTTTCTTGTTCCATACTATATCCCAAGTATCTACCACGGTGCCTGGTACTTAGGAGGTGCTTCATAAATCTTGCTTGAATGAATTAACAAAAACATGAATGGAGGATACCTCTTCTTTCCCCTGGGTACACAATGTTCCGGGGCCCCAATCTGTGCTAGCAGGGAAGGCAGGAAGCAGCTGTTTACCTTTGAGGGAGCGGCTGGGCGATGTGCTTGTGTAAACAGCCATTTACCCAGGTGTCAAGAGGAGCCACTGAGAGAGAACACACATTTATTCCTTTCCTCACTGTAATGACCCAGAAATCCCAGCTTGCCGCTCTGCATTTTTCCAGGCACTACTGGAGTGGAGGCCTGGTGTGTTTTTCTGACCCAGCCTGATCAAGACTCCCACCCTCACTCCCCCACTTTTACTCCAAGTCACTCCTCTCTAGTGACCCTTCAGCGCAAGTATCAGCATCGGAAGTTATCTTATTATTGAACGTTTTTGTCCTCTTGGTCTCTGTATCCTTCCACTAGAATGGAAACGCCTTGAGATCCATCTGTCTTGTTCATTGCCCTATTCCCACACCTGGAGGAGTGTCTTAGACTGGGTGGGGCTGCTCAATCAACAGATACTGACCGACTGATAGATAAGTAAGATTTGTTCCAAGCCTGGTCTAGTGCAATCACTAGCCCGAAGTGGTGCTTGAAATTCCCACCACTAAACTCACCTCTTTGGGGTAAGTCAGCATTCTTCACTCAATCATGATACAGCATTTTCACAGTTTTGGTCATATCTCTTCCTCTAATTTATTTAATATATCTCTCTAATTCATCTCTCCTCTTTTAATAACTTTCAAACATACACTGTATGTCATGACTGTAAATGGAAACCAGTATCACTTTCCATACATAGAAAGTAACCATAAAAATAAATACAGTGATCCAAACCTTAGTGCCAAAGGGATGGTGGATAGAACTCTACTTCAGTATATTTTTTTCTTTGTGATACTAGGCATTTTGCTGTGGGCATTTACAAACGTTATTTTGATATATGGTCCATAGGCTTCACCAGATTTCCAAAGGAGCCGTGGCATCTTCCCTAAGAACCCCAGAGAAGAGATACCAGGATATAATCTGCGAGTGGTCCAAGCTTGAGGACTGTCCTTTGTTAAAAAGGAAAATCAAATAGTGTTAGGATAGTGTGTAAGACATGTTAGCATCAACCTGGAATATATTTTTTGGTGCACATATGTATTCGTTTATGTTGGGCATATATCTTTGAGTGGAATTCCTGGACCACAGGGTATGTGCATGTTCAATTTTACATATACTGTCAAAGAGTCTCGAAAGTGGTTTCTACCAGTTTATAATCCCCACCAGAAGTATGAGAATCCTTACTCTACATCCTTACCTCATTTACTATTAACAGTCTTTTTCATTTCAGCTGTTCTAGTGGGCATGCAGCGGTAAATCCTTGTAGCTTTACTTTACATTTTCCCTGTGACTAATAAGGTTAAATACCTTTCCATGTGCTTATTGGCCATTTGCATACCCCTTTGAAAGATAACTGTTTAAATCGTTTGTCTATTATTTTTCTACATTTTTCTTATCTATTTGTAGGAGTTTTTATATATTCTGGATATGTCTCTTTTAGTTTCAGTATTCCAATTTTTTTCTCACTCTATAATTGGCTTTTCTCACCCTATAATTCCACTTTCTTAATAATGCCTTTTACTGAAGAGAAATTCTTAATTTTAATGAAGCCCAAATTACTGATCTTTTCCTTTGTAGTGTTTATTATATTCTGTTAAGAAATCTTAGCTAATCCCAAGATCCTGAAGCTATTCTTCTATATTGTTTTCTGGAAACTCTATTGTTTCACCTTTCATATGTACATCTATAATCCACTTTGGGTATATGAGGTGAAGTATGAATGAAGACTCTTGTTTATTTTTCATTTCGTATGGATTTTTAAGAATTCAGAACCAGTTTCTGAAAAGACCATGCTTTCTCACTGCTCTGCAGTGACACCTTTTTCATAAAAAGCGTGTCCATATGTGTGTGGGTCTCCTTCTGGACCCTCGATTATCTCCTTTGGTCAATTTGTCTATCCTCACACCAATACCACACTGTCTTAATTACTATGGCTTTATAATAAATATTGTGCTCTGGTAGTGTAACTCCTTCAACCTCTTCTTTTTCAAGATGGTCTTGCTATTCTTGGACATTTTTAAGTCAACTTCTCAGTTTCCAAGAAGTATCTACTGAGATTTTGATTGGTACTGCATTTATTCTGCATAAATATTTGGGAAGAGCTGATACCTTTACATACTGTGCCTTTGTTTTTGAAGCTTTCTTTTTAAAATGTTAGGTTGGCAGTTATTTTCTCTCTGCACTTTGAATATGTTATTCCACTGTCTTATGACATTTCATTTTGAAGTCACCTGTAAGTCTAATTGTTACTCCTTTAAAGGAAGTACGTTTCTTTCTTTTAAGATTTTTCTGTTCGTCCTAGTTTTTAGTACTTTTATTATAATGTGCTAAGTATTCATTTCTTTATATTTATCTTAGTTGAGGTCCAAAGTCCTTCTTTAATCTGTAGATCGGCATCTTTTATTTGTTTTGAAAAAAATTTAGCCATTGTTTCTTCATGTGTTATTTCTGCTCCATTTGCTCTTTTCTCATCTTTTGAGACTATACTTAAATATCTTTTTAGAAAAACCACGTCCATGTGTCTACTAGCTTCTCAACTGCATTCATCTTTTTTCTTTCCTTTCTCAGCTTTAGTTCAGCTATTTTAGTCTCACATAGCATCCAGTTCACTAATCTTCCCTTTCTCTGTGCCTAAACTACTGTTGAATCTATCTGATTTATTAATTTCAGCTATTTTATTTTTAAATTACAGTTTTTATTTCCTTTTTTATAATTTCCAGTTTTCTGCGGAAATTCTGATTCTTTAAAGTATAATTCTTGAAAGTCTAATTTCATTTAGGTATTAATCATGATTATTTTAAGATTCATGTCTAATAACCCTAGTATCTGTACACTCTATCACCTGTTTATTCAGCCATGTGGCTTTGCCTCCTGAGATGACTGGTAGATTCAAATTAGATACCAGATGTTGTATTTTTTTATTTATTTTATTTAGTTATCTTTTTTTTGATGTGGACCATTTTAAAGTCTTTGTTGAGTTTGTTACAATGTTTCTTCTGTTTTATGTTTTGGTTTTTTGGCCCCCAGGCATGTGGGATCTTAGCTCCCCGACCCCCTGCATTGGAAGACAAAGACTTAACCACTGGACTGCCAGGTGTTGTTTATTTTTTAAAAATTAAGATAATTTGAGACTCTGGGTAACTTTATTTTCTTACAAAGAAGATTTGCTTTTATTTCTAGCAAACTGAGTAGAAACAAATCACCTAATCCAATCAGGGATTGAGTTTATTAAAACTGGAGTTCACTCTTTGTGAGGGCTGGTTTATTTCTGGTTCACCTCTATTTCTATGATATAGCCTTTTGATGATGCCAACTGAAAACATGGGATGCTTTTCCTTATTTGGAAAAACTCCCATTTTCCTCCTCAGTATTGTAAGACTGCCAGAGGTATTGTTCAGCTTCTCGGATCCAGACACTGCTTGTGAATCAGATAAAGGCCTTGAGAGGGAAAGCAGACTGAATATTGAACTCACATCTTTGCTCTTGCCTTTTCTCAAGGATCTTAGCACCTCAAATCCTTGCAGGCTTGGTAGCTCTTTGATGCCTTCAACCCAAATCAATCAAATATTTTGTCTGGCTTTTCTAATTGTCCTTGGGTGATGGATTAGTGTACAGCAAACAAGATTACCATTACAGGCTTCAAGATATATTGTTACATGGGGAAAGGAAGTTATAAAAGAACATGTGTAGTATGAGCCTATACTCAATAAAATAAAAATATTAATAATTTGTTAGAATATTCACAGAAATATAATCTGGAAATGGAGTCACCTAACCATTTACATTGGTTACCCATTATGCACTATTTCTTTCCTTCTTTTTCTCATTATTTCTTTTTTTTTTTTTTTGGTGGCTGTGCTGTGCAGCATGCAGGATCTTAGTTCCCCAACTAGGAATCAAACCCCTGTCCCCTGCAGTGGAAGCACGGAGTCTTAACCACTGGACTGCCAGGGAAGTCCCTATTTCATTTTTTATACTAGATATTTTTGTAATGTTTGGGCTTCACTTTTCAATGAGGGTATATTCATATATAAGGGGAAATTATAAGGTCATTTAAAAATTTAAAGAAACAAAAATGGCATAAAAGACAAAGCACCTGGAAAGTGGGCTTGTCTTTATCTCTGTTTCTTAATTTAAGAAAGCCAAGATTACAGAATATCAAGTTGTATGTGGAGAGAGCGTATTATGGTTACAGTAGCTTCTCCTTACAAAGCTACGTTAGGGAGGCACCTCTTAGTTCAGTGATTTTCTGTGTTGGTGCGTTACTCGTGGGGACACAAACGTACTTACTGCTTCTTGTTATCTACTTGGTAACAGGGGCAACCAAAATTATAGGACTCTTCCAATTCTCGGAAAACATTGACTTTTCCAAACTAACTTTGGCATGC